GAGAAAGGGCCAAGGCGAGGAGCCCAGGTTCCGGGGCCCGGGAGGCGCTGGGGTGCCCAGCCGGCAGCGGCCACGGGGGCGCATTCGTGGGCCAGACAGATAGGTGGCACTCGAAGCCCGGAAAAAAGGGCGAAGGCGCCGGCTCCGAGCGGCCTCCGCGGCCGCCGCCGCCACCATAAAGCCCGCGGCGAGATTGCGACCGGCGCCAGGTGAGTAATAGGCAACGAAACCCAGAGAGATTGCGAGCCATTCACCCCGCCCGGCAGCGCCAAGAGAGTTACTCATTAACATCACTATATACAAATAAGATACAAAGGAGGTTAAAAAAAAAAAAGACAGAAAGAAACAAACCCTGCCAGCTGTGGCAGAGGCTGGAAGCACGCCTGAGCCCCGTCCGAGAATTTGGGGGGCGAGGTGGGGGGGCAGGGGGGCAGATCTGCGGATCTGGACCGGGAAAGGGGCATTGCTGACCTCTCCCAGGCCGAGGCTGTGGTTTGCTCCCCGCTCGGGAGAGCGCCTCTGGGCGCCACCGGCCGACCGGCACCTTCCAGGGGCGCAGCGCCGCGCGTAATCTCGGGGCCAACAGCCAACGCGCGCCCTGGAAACCTCCCGGCCCTCGGGGGGAGGTGCCTCCCCGAGGTCCCCTGACTCCGCACCCTCCGTGCCCCTGGACGTTTTCCCCGCCACCCGGGGAAACCGAGCGGGAGAGGCTGTGGGGCTCCCCACGTGCCGGGCTGGAGGTGGAAAGGGGTTTGCGCCCCTCTCCAAAAAGGTCCTGACCTCGATCCCCTCCCAAGTACAGGCCGAAGGCGGGGAGGGGGCCCTCCGTGCGGGCGCGTTCGAGAGGCTGGGAGGTGACAGGGACTCGGGGCCGAGCTGGCGGGCTCCAGGGAGGGGGCAGGGCCGCAGCCAGGCCGGCTCCGGCTGGGCCCTCACGTCACGGGCCCTCAGGGCAAGAAAAGCCTGGAGAGCCTTCCCGTCCTTGTCCCCCACCCCGCCCCCACCCCACACGAGCACACACACCGCACACCAGTCCGCGATGGAGCTGGGGGCGGGGTGGGGGGCGGGAAGGCTGGGAGACCAAAGACTGTCACTGCCTCACCATTTTTTATTGAAAGTTTCAAAGATAAATGGAACTTCAAAAGGCAACTCCTTAAACAGCCTGGAGGCTGGTTGGAGGGGAGAGCGCTGGAGAGGGTGCGGGCCTCCTGGGTGACTTTCCCCTTGGAGAGGGGGTCAAGTATGCGCCCTGGAATTACCTTTCCCAGGCGGGGAGAACTGGCCGCCTCCCTCGCGGGACACAGCCCGGCGTGGTGGAGCCAGCCCCGCTCTGCATGCACGGCTTCGGGGACCGGGCCTGGTCGGGGCGCCTTGGGTCAGCCGGGCCCAACCTGGGACCCCAGGGACTGCAAGGGGACGGTCAGTCTCCTCAGCTTCTCTCACAACCCTGGGGATGGGGGGGGCGGCCGCCTTGCCAAGCCCCAGGCTGGCTGCAAGGAGATTCGGTGGTGTGTGTTTTTTTTTTTTTGCACACTGGTTGCAAGGATATTTTTGACTTGGATTTCCCAGATCGAGGTGAAAAGGGAGACAGAGGCCAAGACGGAAACGTTTGCAGCCCTCGGACGCACTTGCGGTTGGGTTCGTGACTTCGCGAGGGGAGCATTCCTTCCCCATTAAAACCGAAGTATCTGAAATTGCTATTCTATCCCGTCCTAATCAGGCCCCTTCCGTCTCTCGTTCTGCTCCCTAATTTAAAGGAAAAGTAATTTCAGATTGAAGCGGCCCGCTCCCTCTCGGGAGCGAGGGACTTTTTGTTTTTAGCTCTGTAACTTGAGTGACATCTCACTCGGGTTCGGTGGGGGCGGTCTTAATTACTTAAAGGCGAAGGGAAGGGATCAGGGGAAGCCAGGAGAGGGGGAGAGAGACTCCAGAAAGTTCCCTAAAGAAAGCACTTATCGCACAAGGCCCGAAGACATTTCAATAAAAATTTATTGAAATTTCAATGACGTTTTTAAAGAGGGGGTGGGAAATACAGGAAAAAAAAACCAACAAAACACAACCAAAGAACTCATCAACAATTATAACACAAAATATACCTTCATGAGTTTTTTGTCTTTAACCCATCTCAGCACCTGACTTTTGAACTGGGAATATTATCTCTACAGGCACCAATTCAAAACACCATCAATAATGACGACAGTAGTCAACTCCACTTGGCTTTGACGGTATCAGAGACTAGCAAATACAAATACAAAAGAGAAATTAGAAAGTCAGGCCGCGGCCTCCGCAGTCCCCA